AAGAAGAACAAGGAAGAGGAGTGAAGGAGGAGTATGGATGGATGAATGAGTACCTGGTAAAAGGTGAAGGCGACGAGACCTAAGCCCATGACGAAGCAGACAATCCAGAAGATCAAGTCGAGGGACATGGCGACGGAATGTGAGAGAAGTTTGCAGAGGGAGGAGGAAGAGATTTGGCGTTGGAATTGCGCAGTGCGGTAGTGTAGGCTTACAGATGGAGGGCGGTGCAGCGTGCACAGAGGGAAAGCAGAAAGCTGCTGAATTGAGTGTAGACGGGGGAATTTCAGTAATTAGAAATTGAAAATGAAAAATATACAGTTTTTTTTTTTTTTTTGGCAAAGCCATTTGTTAAACCCCTCAATTGACCTCAGGTTCATTATTAAATTCTTAAATTTTAATTGATGCATATAACTCTCCAAACTCATATAAGTTTCCGAAGCTCCATGATATAGGCAATTTAATTCTTAATTCTTTAACTACCATACGAATAAAAGCTAAACTGCTCAAATTATGAAATTTAAGGATTTATATACATCAATTAAAATTTAAAGACTCAACTATAAATCTATTTTTTTTTATGCTAGTTGTATAATGGGAGGCAATCTCTCTCATCTTTAATTCCATCTCACTTGTTTTATATATGAATTTGAATTCAAAATTTCTTATTTTTAACAAATAAAAATTATCATTAAACTATTTAAGTTGTTGATACAATAAATCTAAAATTAGTTTATAAACTTAACATAAAAGTTTATTTCAGATCTCATAAGATGAGTAACTTTTCTAACTTTTATTTTTTTATTTATAAAATTTAAATTTAAATTTTTATTTAAGATAAATTGAAATCTTTTCGCAGAAAGCAACAAAGGCATTGGTGTTTTTTTTTTGTTTTTTTTGGTACTTTATGGAAAACGACAAACTTGACCTTATGGGTCCTATAATATAATGTTGGTTAAATGCTAGATTTGGTCCCTCAACTTTAGTGAGTTGCACATTTTTGGTCCCTTAACAATTTTTTGTACTTTTTTGATCCCTTAACTATACGAAATACACTCCGTTAGTCTTTTTGTTAATTTCGATCGTTAACTCGCTCACGTGGCATTTTTTATTATTTTTTTGGTGACGTGGCAAAAGCAAATTGAAAACATGTTGACGTGGATTTTTTTTTTCATGCCAACTCACATTATTATCATTATTTATATTTTAAAAAAATAAATTAATATACTTCGTTCATCTTTTTCCTTTCTCTTTTTCTTTTTTTTTTCTTCCTCTTCTTTTTTCCTTTCCTTTCTTCCTCGTGGGTCATTAAACCCTCTGCTGGGTTCGGCGGAACCCAGCCTGGGTTTCACCGAACCCAG